AAATTTTTCAAGGTGTCGGAACAACAACTTTTAATGAATGGGACAATTAAAAGGCTTCCTATAATTTTCAGTACTTAAATAGTTGTATGGAAACGTCTGTCAAGTGTTTTACTTTATGGAAATTATATCATTAGCTTTTTGGCCAACCCGGGAGTCTTGGGACTTCATAGCGTCACAAACACGGATTTTTTTTTTCAATCTCACAACAATGTCAGAACGTTTTTATTCCACGTTAAATCGGGAGCTACGAACAAAAATAAAAAAATAGAGCAATAGGTCAAATAGAAAACGTTATTTATTTCAGATGGTACCTAAAGATTGTCTCAATGCAGAAAAAAATGCCTTTCAATTCAGGAAAGAGCAGATAGTTGATTATTCTAAAAAATAAGTTAATTAAAAAAAATAAGTTAATAATAAGATATTTTAAAAAAATTCATACAAAAAACTTGAGGTCGAAAAGCAGTTGTTAGTTTTTGATACGATCTCCATCTCTGAAAAAATTCAGGAAGAACCAAAAAATTGATAAAAAACTATTAGAAAAAAGTTTTTTGAAACGCTTGTATTATTAGTTTGGTTGTCAAAAAAAGAGCGATAAATTTTAGTAAAAACTGTTCATAGCTTGCAAAGACCTTTAATGATGGTCATTGGTTCTTTTGAATTAGTCGTCTTTGTGCGAGTGTAGGGTATAAATAAAAAAACATAGCTGAATCAAGAAGCTAAACTTATTCAAGTTACTCTGGAAACTATAAAACATGAAGAAAATAGCCCTTGAAAGGATGACTGGCAATTCTATAAAACCTGACGATTGACAATAAATCATAAAAAAAATAAAAATTTTATGTGGCTTTGAATAAGTGTACAGTCAATTTTTAGATGTACAAAGTTTTCATATCAGTAAAAAATATATAATTTTTTTTTGAAAGTCCTTTTCTGCAAAAATTCCAGTAATTTTTCGTAGCACAACGTTATTGAAAAGGTGGCAATGTTCCTTCAAAAATAGAAAAAGTAGCATTGTGATAATTTTGGGGGCAGGGTGAATGGTGATGTGGGCATACTCCCAAGGAAAACTCCTCTCGCTCTCTCTCGCTCTAGCTCTCTCTCTCTCTCTCTCTCTCTCTCTCTCTTCTCCCCAAGTGATAATCTACTCGTGTCAATAACTGTGGATCATAGTGGTAAATTAAACAGAAACCAACTATTTCTTTTTAATTCATATCTTTTTTTTTAGGGTGGAAGCACTCAAATATTCCATGGCGCGGCAGCATTATATCAGAAAATACAAGCTTTTCTTCACATTAGCTACACTTTTGACTATGACCGGAGTAGCTCTGACCATCATTGGAGCATTTGCAGTGCCTTTAATTGTTCCAGAACATTCCAGAAAGATCTTCAATGATTACGATCAGTTCAAACCATTCATTCGTCTCAAAGAACTCCGGAAGTATAAGTCACATATTGATCGTACAAACTGGATTATTTTACTAATCTTATACTTCTTTAGATATGTTGGTCCAGTTATATCAGGGTTTTTTATATCCATCATTGCAATTATGATACTATACACGCATTGGGTAACCGATCAAGAAGTTAAGAGACTCAACTCGTATTTGTTCAGCGAAAGTTTTGAAAATTTCCCCGAATGCTTCAATAGTATATTAACCAAATGGATTGTCATTGTTGCTCCAGTTAACGAAATACACCGGTTATCTACAGAGTTTTAATTATATTTTGATGAAACAAAAAGTTTTCATTCAAGGTATTATATCGCTAGATATATTTTTCAATCAAACAAAAAATTTGCTGAAAAACTGAGCCTCGTTCTTGGTTGAATTGTCCAGATTCAATATAACAATTGCGCTGCTAACAGATTTGTGTGCACATACTCTATCAACTGTTGAGCTTTTTTCATAATCAAACAATTTTAATGCTTTAAAAAAACTTTTACAAATCCGTTTTTAAATTACAAGTGACATAGCTAGTACTCTTTGGTTATTTTTAAATTTGCAATGTGTTTTTTTTTCACTTTTTTATCGCTAATTTCCAATGTGAGCTCAAATTGGGTACTGATTGCAATAAGACGTAAGTTAGTCTCGACTTAACTTATTTCATTTTGTAACTTAACTACGAGTGTAAAAGAGTTTTTTTCCAAAAACATATATAAAATTGGTTGTTTACTTGAAAACTATTCAGTATTTGCGCTTACAAGAAACGTGGATCAAAAAAATTGAAACTGGACCATTGAACAATGAAAATTCTGATTCAGGTAAGATATCAAATCTTACCTGAATCAGAATGTTTTTTGTTCAATGGTCCAGATTCAAATAATTTTGATCCACGGTTCTTGTAAGCGCAGATACTGAATAGTTTTCAAATAAACAACCAAATTTAGTTATGTTTATGGGAAAAAAAATCTTTTACACTCGTGGTTAAATTACGAAAAGAAATAAATTAAGTCGAGACTAACTTACGTTTTATTGCAAACATTACCCGGGTTAAGCTCACATTGGAAATTAGCGACATTACGAGGTCAAACTGTGCACTGGATAGGCGCACAATTTTGTGTATGTATGTTCCTGGATTCCAGAGACAAGTCTTTAAACATGTTCTAAATTTTAATTGATATTCACTGACAACATTTCAGTGGATTCTGTGTACAAATAACTGTAACATAAATTTTGTCGGCACATTGATTTTGTTGTGGATTCCGCAACGAACGAATATAAGTAGTTTTCCGGATTCCGCAAATGAAAGCGGATTCCGCAAATGTCCGTGGGTTCCGCAAGTTTATGCGGATTCCGCTTACAATTTGCGAATTCCGCGTACAATTTGTGGAATCCGCTTACAATTTGCGGAATCCGCTCACAATTTGCGGAATCAACCTACAGTTACGGATTCCGCGACAGCATAAATTTACTAAACACATATACTATTATCTGTTCATGGGTTCCTCAATATGGTTCCGGATTCCACGCATTTTGTTGCGGATTCCACAAAGTTGCCTGTTTTTGGAGCGATTTTGAGCAATACAGTGTTTTAGCTATTTGTACGTGGAATCCAAAACAGCAGAGAAGATCAAAGAAAAACAGCAATGTTGTGAATTCCGCAACAAATCTGATTTTTGCCTGTTGTGGAATCTGCCTACAATTCACAAAATGCACAGGTTGGCCTCGTAATGGATAAAAAAGTGAAAACAAAAAACAGCGATCGCCACCAATGAATTTTTGTTGCTCATTGCCACAGTAGCAAATTTCAACGATGGTTTATCACTATTTTAGCTCTGGAATAATAATTCCTTTTTATCGAAGGAAAGCGCTGGACACATTATTAATTCATAGCGATAAAACATCGCTATTTATAGCTATGATACATCGCAAAGTTTAACTGATCTTTTTTTTCTGGAGTTCTTGCGTCTGCTTTCTTCATAATCGACAGCTGTATCTAAGTTAATAGATTCTGCAATTTCTTGTTAAGAATGGGACCTGAAAATTGGTGAGGATCAATGACTTGAAAATTATTGCCTGAAATTTTTCATCGCTATTTAGGCGCGGTTTTTTTTTAATTTTTAAATGCTGTTCATTGATGAATTATCGCTAGTTTATCAAAGTTTTTCAATAAAAAAATGCAAATTATGTTAGCTGTGAACTAGACGGAAAAATCCATGAAAATCTTACTAAATCTGGATTAGCAGTTTTCCACCCGGGTTTTTTGTTTTTAAATAATAATTTTTAAAAAAAATCTCGCTATGCAAAATATAATAAGACAATGTGATCTGCAATTCTCGCAATGATTATGTGATCTGGAATTCTTGCAATACAAAAAGATCTGAAATGAATAGTCGTTAAAATTTGCATCAAATTAATAAAAAGCAAGCAATTTGTCTCACGCCATTTTGGAGTTACTTGTTGAACAGACTAATTCACCCCGCTTTTAGAACGATATAATGCGCGTAATTTGCACTCAATTGGTCAAGCTGGCAATTATGAGACCAGACAAAGTCATTCAATTTTTTTTAAATTTTGAGCTCGGGTATCAAAAGTGTACAGGTAATAAAAAAGTTTGGTCAAAAATAGCCAGTTACCAAATTCAGGTTTTTTCATAGTACGCCAAGTAGAAAAAGGTCGCGTTTTTAAAATTGAACACCAAAAATATTAGTCTCATGAAAGTTTTTTTTTAAATTTGCGCCTCCGAAATGCGGTTTGGAATTTTGTAAGAAACTAGGACACAAGATTATAATGCATACGGCTTTATACATCTCTGGAATATCGATCAATCTTTTGCAGCTTCTGGTTTCGTTTCATAAACCCAAGTTAAATAATGGGGCGCGAGATCTCAAATTAATCTTTCCAGATGGTAGAATGTTAGCTTGGGTGTTTTACGGATCTCCTAAATTACTTTTTTTGAAAAAGTCAAATTAGTTTGACTAATTTTTTACTTCACTACAAAAAATCAGGTTTTTTTAAGTTCTTGAATTGTACAAACTACACAGGCAGAGCAAAACAAGTTTGATCAATGCCCAGCAGCAATTTTGAGTAGAATCGATCAAAAGAGAGCATGCTTTATTCAAATTCTTACAAAAGTATTCCCAGTCGATTCCTTTAAACAAAAATTAAAATGGGTTGAATAAATTGACACAAAAGAAGTAAGTCGAACGCAGTCGAGCAATCGGTCGGAGCAAAATCAAATTAGTTTTTTTTTTCAAATGTAACCTAATCATTTTTCATTGAGTCGGTCAATACGTGAGTCAACGTCCTAAAACTGGTATATGAACCATATCTTTTGTGAGCAGTTTTTCATGGGGAACCACACACAATAAAAAATATTTTCTGCTCCATTAAGTTTTTGTATAGCAAAGACAAGAGTTTTAAATGAACTTATAAAGTTTTGTGTCTAGCTTTTAACCTTGGCATGATGAGCAATATCTAATTGTTTCTTTGCCTCAAATGTTCAAGTTCAAAGGCAAATTCAATTCTTATAGTTATAGTTGTAACTCTACTTGCGTCATCTTTTAGAGCATATTAGACGCATTTCTTACAACGAAGTCAATCAAAATTTTGCTGCTTGGGTAATCTCAGGCTATTTACTATGTCAATTTTTGCCTTACTTTTGTTACTTGAACTTTTTTGCGGTAAGTTTCATTTTTTTTAGTAACAATACATCGTCTCTAATGAAGTCAATTTAAGAATATTATTTCTCGTAAAGCATTTTAGGAGTGGCCGGTCGTTGAGCAGAATAATGTAAGAGCAGAAAAGCTCTAAGAACACAGAAAACTTCATAAAAAATTGAACCACAAGGGCTAATGATAACCCGGGTGAAGTCAAGGACTTAAATTCAAACATTCAAAGTCACTCCGATGCTAACTTTGTCCGAGTTATCAGGTTTTAAGAAAGATAAAAATATTTAAACGAAGTAAAAAGAAAAATAAATACTATGCTTATAATGATCGCATGATATCCCGAGTTGATGTGTTCCACTTAAATTTTGGCAAAATTTGTTGAAGACACGGACAGAACATGTCCTTAAATCAGTGGAGGAGAACAGTCGCCTCAACAAACTTCAAACTGTGTTAGAGTATATCATCAAACAAATCATCGACACAAAGTCGAATATAAAGTCGCAACACAGTCAAAAATCGATCCGGAGAATGTAGAGATATAGACAAATCCTGGTCGGAAACTATGTTGAGATACAATTGAATAAAGTTTTGGCACTCAAAAAAAAGGTAGCGCATGATATTACAAACGCAATCAGCAATAGTTTGTAAATCAATTACAAACGAGAGAAAATATAACACTCAATCATTTGAACTAAAAGCCTTGTAAGCTATCTTAATGTACTTTAACTTTTTTTGCTGATTTCGTTGGATTTGCTCAAGGGTTTGATGAAAATTTTTCACCCTGTGATTGCACTACATCTCTTTTTGTAGAGCAATATCTCTGACCATAATGTGTTTTAAAGGGGACAAACTCAAAAATTACAAATCAAAAAAAAATCTTATGATCATTAAATTCTTAAAAACCAAAATTCACTATTTCTTTTTCAGCTTGTTTTTGTCTGCCTCTAACCAATAATCATAACCTATAACCTATTTTAATATTGAAGTTCAAAGGCCAATTGTTTTGCTATGGTTTTACTTGTAGTTCAAATCGCGTCATCTTTCAAAAATTATCTGAAAAATCAAGACCTCAATCAATTTTTTGTTGTTCGTGTAGTTCAGATTCCTAATCATGTATTAGGGGTATCCGGTCAGTGAGTGGACTGATCTGAGAACAATTAGACTCTAAGGACAGAAAAATTGAGAAAAAAAAACAGAAAACTCGAATTGAGATCAGCGACTTATTTTCAGACTTTCAAAGTGGCTCCGAGGTTAGATCTGCGCCGAATATTCATGTTATATACAAGTTTTTGTTTTCGTGTATAAGGCTCAAAATGATCTAAATTGTACAAAGGAAAAATGTCTAGTCTAAAAGTTAGTCTAGTTGATTCATTCAATTCGTAAAAATGACAATTCTGATACTTGGTTCTTTGATAATCTGTGTAAATCAATTATTTTGTCTTTCTGCTCTCACATTTTTTCTGCCCGGACATCTTTCTTCGCATCGCATTTGTCTGTTGTTCTAGTTTTTAGCTTTTAGCGCTACAGAATCGAGTATTTCATTCACCGTGATAAGCACTTAGTATCCAAGTTGAACAGTGGGGTGCAGGATCTAAAACTGATCTTTGCAGATGATGGAGTTGGTTTTTTTTTAGTTTTTCTGCTTTGTAGTCGAAAAAATAGGGTTGTTCAGTTTTTGAATTGATCGATTATACAGGCACTGCAAAATAAAATTGATCAAAACACACCAGCAACTTTGGTTGGAATCGGTCAAAAAAGGACTGGCTTAAAGCGAAAATAAACTATAAAAAGTTTCTGAGTCGATGTATACAAAAACATAATCAAAATGGATTGAATAAACTGACGTATAAAACGATTGAGCCAACCACAGTCGAAAATCATTTTGTTTGGCAGAACTGTTTGAAACAAAACCAATTTGATCAATTCAATAGAAACACAAAATTTTCATGGAGTCGCTCAAGGCATAAGTCGAACACCGAAACCCGGTATATGAAACATATCTCTACTGAGCATTTTTTCCAACGGAAAAAAGCAAAATCAAAAATAGTTTCTACGCCGTAAACTTTTCGTAAAGCAAAGTTAAAGGTTTCAATTCAACTTTCAACTATCTGCCTCTAAGTTAAAACCTTGGCATCATGAGCACCATCTCAATTTCGCTTTGACTTCAATGTTGAAGTTCAAAAACACAGTCCGTTTTATGGTTATAGTTTTAATTCTAATTGCGTCATCTTTTAAAGCATATTACACTCAATTATAGTTTAGTATTTAAATCAGTCTTTTGGGGGTTTATTTCAGATTATTTACAATTTCACTTTTGCATTGTTTTTGTTTCATGAAATTTTCCGCGGAACTTTTTTTGACTGAATAACAGTTAACCGGCTTCTATAAACCATGTAACTAACAACCTCCCTCCTAAAGCGTTTTAGGAGTGGCCGCTCATTGAGCAGAATTACTTAAGATCAGAAAAACTCATATAAATAAAAAACTAAAAAAATGAACCGCACGTTATGAGGAAAGCCCGGTTTGCGACAGTCTGGAGTCTGGATTTACAAAAGTTTTGGATTTAAGAAAAAGATGCCTGGATTCACAAAATTAGACTATCGTTCTTAATAGTCTAATGAAGAAACCACAATCTAACCTCGAGTATTAAAATTAAAGTTGCCAAAGTTGTGAAAGAAAAAAAGTTATACACAAACTGAGCAGAGACTTCAGATTTTTTAAATGAATTGATTTTTGTTCAAATTACCTCTTTTTCATTCATTTCATTTGAAATAATGGCAATATTTCTATTTGGTTCATTGATAAACCCGTGTTATTTTCATTCAATTTTTTTTTACTGTAGTCAAACTTTTTCTGCCAGTTGATCATTCTGCTCAGTGCACCACCTCCGTCCCGGGTTGACCGAAAACGCTAGTCATACAATTTTCATATATGGAAAAATGCTAATCATACACTTTTCATGCATTCCATAAAAACAAAAAATTGCATGAAAGGTCTATGATTAGTATTTTTGATATGGAAATTGTATGACTAGCATTTTTCCATAAACCAAAACTATTGATTTTTTACATTTTATTTTCTTTAAATTTTTTGCTTGTGTTTGTAGCCGAACACAAATGACCTAAACCTTGGTTACTCAATCGTAGTAACCAAAGGTTTGGTCTTCTCGCATTAAAAATGCATTGAAAACAGCCTGAAATGTTTTATTTCTGTCTCACACAAATAGTATAACGAAAGTAACGAACTTTTAAATTTTGGCAAAAATTTTCAAAGATGATTATTTCAAAAATTTGAATTTTTAAATTACCAGACATTGATCAAGGCATACAAAAATATGTCATACAAAAAAAGAGGAGTTTTAAGCGTTTTGAAAAAAGTTTTCAAGAGAAAAGGAAAAAAAATCCAATACTAGTATATCCAGGACTCAGTTATACACACAAAAAATTAAATTTTGCATGCAAAAATTTTTTTTTCAAAAAATGTTTGTTTGAGTAAGAAAATTAGTTTGCGGATGGAATAAAAACACAAAAAAAATTTTGGGGGGCAACTTCAAAAAAATGCTAGTCATAATTTTCCATATATGGAAATTGTTTGATTAACATTTTTGGGATAAAAAATTTTCTTTTTTATTTAATACGATACACCGAATTTTATGCCAAAACAAGAGAAAAATTTTTCGAAAGTTCAATGATACCATTTTAGCAAAATGTATGAAATTTGTATGATTAGTATTTTTTTCATAGACTTAGTTTATGGAATTGTATGATTAGCATTTTTGGTGTATGGAGGTCAACCCGGGGTGTTAGGGAAGAAGACGTCAACCTAATTCTAATTTTTAGTTTTTAACGAAACAGAATTGAATATTTTATAAAGAAAGGTTAACAATTCAAATCCAAGTAAAAATTGGTGCGCAGAACCTCAAACTGATCATTCCAGATGGTAAAATGTTCGCTTAGGTTTGTTGACGTATGTCAAATATTACTTTAAATGATTAAGGTATAAGAGTTATGAGGATTTTTTGCTGTTCAGTTCTAATATTGCTTACACCTAAATTGCTCAGAACGATTAAACTTAACCAAATTCCGAGAATTGACAGTTTCCATTTTGCATATCTTTGTTTTTCAATAAATCAATGTTACTCTTTGATTTCACCTAAGAGCAGAAAGGGGGAAACTAAAGTGAGGAAGAAAAATAAGTGCTGATTTGGACAATTGCTTCACTTTTTTAAAGAAGTTCCAATGATTTATACTTTTTAAGATTTATTACCAGAGCACCAACCCATGTTGAGCGCAAAATTAAAAACTGAGAAGAACCAATTGCTTGGGTTGCATGTAATTGGAAACTTCATGGTGGAATGAGCGGGAAAAAAAAACGTTATTTGATTTAAGTTCGAACCAAAAAGTTTTTTAAAGCAATTTCAGATTTAGACATATGAAACATCACTCAACAATTTACAAAAATTACTTCATAAAACATGAAAACTAAAAAAAAATTCTGGTCGGCGGCTTAGAAAAAAGTCCTTGAAAAATTCTGCGCACCTATGAGAAGAGCTGAATGTGGAAAAATAATTGTTTGCTTTTTGTATTCGTTATTTTTTTTGTTTTCTAGTTGGTTTAAATGGAAGAATTGAGTTTTAAATGCAAATCCAAAGTTTTTCAGTTAATCACATGAAATTATAACTGTCGGTATAATTAGTTTGCGAACAATTTAAAATCGATAATTTTGAAATCACATTAAAAATTAAATATAAGCTTGTTGTCTTTGGTTTTAACCGAACATCCTTATAAAACACTTATGACAAAAATTATCAAGGAAAGTTTTTGCATTTTGTTTTTTTTTTATAAATTTTAGAGAAACTTTGTCTGTTAGAACTTTTTCCGGTTTTCCATTTGAATTGTTATGAATGTTTTTGTAAGTCCGTTTAAATTTTTGAGCAACCGGATGACGTTATAGTAAAAAAAAATTGTAATGCAAAAAAGTTTGCAACACTTATAAAACTTTTTGGAATTTTTCATTCTGCCGAAACCTGCTGATCACCTCCTAACAAAAAAGTTTTATGGCTAGCATTTCATCTAAGACAAATTGAATGGAATTGTATAGGTGGCAATTGACTATAAAGACGACAAAAAATTTTTCTAAAATTAATTAACATTACGAAAAATTTAAATTTTTAAAATTCAAACTCAGTATTAATAATTTCACCTGGATAAAAACAGAGTTAGAAGTAGAACAACTTATAATCTCATGAATTTGTTTTTATAAAAAACTGCCTTATGTAATATCTCAAAGAAATAAAAACAGATGCGAAGAATTAATGTCCTTAAGTATTTGAGCTGAATTTTTTTGGCAATCGTAAACTGAATATGGTTTAACAAAATAGTTCTATTCCGAAACAGAACCATAGGTTTCAACTAAAGGCAGTAAAAGCAAAAAGAAGTAATTTTTGGGCAACCGGACGACGTTATAGTCAAAAATATAATTACGAAGCAAAAAAAATTTGCGACATTAATGACACTTAAGCTTTTTTTTGATTTTTTGATCCTGCCAAAAATTGCTAGTCCTTCCTCTCTCCTGCCACCCCCCCCCCCCCAAAAAAAAGAAACTTTTGACCAACATTTTATCTTAGACGAATTGTATGGAATTGCATAAGTGGTAATTGCCCATACCGACGATAAATTTTTTTCTAATTTTAATTAACATTTGGAATGATTCAAATTGACGCTATAACAGGATAAAATATAACCCACATTCCCCATCCTAATTTGTACGATAAAGATTAAAATAATCGAAAACTCACCAATAATCATAAAATTGAAACACATGATTGCAGATGATTTTTTTGGGCTTTTGCAGAATTTTTTTGTCTGCAGTAGTCTCAAACAGTTCGCAAACAAACCTTATCTTTCACAAACATTTCTTCACTTTATTCAAATGTCGGAACAATGAGTCAAGCTGAATTATCATTACAATTCCCTATACGACTTAAATTTCAACACCTATTATATGATATTGGCAGTCCAGAATTTATAGTTTCACAAAAGTTTCTTATTAAAAACTAATCGAAATCAGCTGGTGGGAAGTCAAAACATTCATGGCCATGCCCTGATATGCAAGCATTATTGACTATTTTATGTTTTTTGTTTATTTTAGGGTATGCCGTAGCTCCTTGGGAGTCGCTACAAATTACACTTCGAGATTCAGTGGATATTTATGGAATACAATGCAAAAGATTCAGGTAAAACTCAGGAAAAAAATTAATTCCTCGTTTTTTTATAAGTAAACTATATTATCACTAGTACGCAAAATTATTCTGGGTATGAAAAAATACTAGCTAAAAAATCAAAATTTCTCTGATTGAAAAGATAAAATCATCCAGAGCGAAAAGTCGTTCTTATGGAATATACTAACAAGCTTGCAAATGATTTGCTTCGTTTGTGTTTAGTTATGCGTACTGTATTCATGGCTACTGGTTTTCATCTAAACAAAGCAATCGTAAATCTCATTGGTCGGATGTGCCAAAGTTTGCGTCTTTGATTCAACACAATGATGTCTGGAAAATGATCAATTGGTTCTCTTTTACTTCCAGTGGTTAAGTGACTTCTGTAGATTTTCTTTTTCTCTTTTGACCAACATTGACCAGCAGATAAACGTGGGGGGGGGGGGGGTGCACGAAGGGAATGAGGACTGAGGACTTTTTCCAAGGGGGTGAGTTTTCGATAACAAACTCTCGAATTGTAAAAACCGGCCAGGCCATAAATGACTTTTTTACTCAAATTGTAAAACGTTTTGACCAATCAAAGTTTAAGATTAAATGCTGTAGGTAGGTTGGGAGATGTAAGATACATGCGGAAAGGAAGGAAAATGTGTCTGAGAGCCAAAAATGGGAAAGCGTAAATCGTAAGAAAAAATGTTGAAACTATTGAAATTTAAAAAAAAATTGAAAAAGCAAAACGTTATGAAGAAAAATAATAAAAAACAAAACTGAAGACCAGGGGCGGATTGAGGGGGCGGGGGCGGGGGGAAGATACCTCTTTCCTCAAGGATTCGATCCCCTGATCGCCCAAAGTGTCACCCCTGTGTACTATTTTGAGATATCCATTTTTGGTTACGGACCCTATAATTTTTCTGAAGGCGCCTTTGGCGCCAATATATACTAGTTTCAAGGGGAGAGCACGCGCCAAAAAAATTCGATTTTTTTTTGGTCAAAATTTTCCAAAAAAAAGCTTAAAAACGCTTTTTTTGGCCAACTTTTTTCAAATTTTTGCCTGCGGCGCAGAAAATTAGGCCAAAACAGGGACTTTTTAATGCTTTGGGAGAACTATGAAAATCAATTTCATCGACCGTAAATAATCAATATGTAAACCGGCTTATAATACGAATTGAAAAGAAACAGACTAATTTGTACCAGATCAGAACATCAACCTCATTTATATTACTTTGTGTCTGGGAAATTTTTTACAACAGTTCTTGAAAAATTTGAAAAATTCTCAAGTAACTGTCATTTAAGTTAATTAACAAATTTTAGAACATTTTTAACAAAGAATTATCGCAGCTATTTTTAATGAAATGCGGAAAATTTAGGGTTTTACTCTGTTATGAACCGTTTTTTCCTGTTTTTGAAAAATTTGATGAAAAGTTTGTGCTCGTTGTGGGTAAAAAAAATTCTGAAAATTACCAATTATTCTTTAGTCAAACTAAAGGACTGTCAAAATAAAGAATTATAATCGAAACAGCAATCGTGACGAAATCATTTTATAGTCAAGTAAAACCCAAGATAAAACTCAGGAAAGGTTCAACTGTCAATTTGAAATAAAGCGATTCTGATAAAAAATTTGCTGTCGCTCTCAATTTAGAAAGGAAAAAATATGTTTTTCAGTGCTTGACAGTTTTTAAAACCTTTTTGTTTTAAATTGAAGTAGTTAATTTGCAAACTAAAAAGTTTTGCACCAGCCGGAGCATATCACAAATTTTTCTTCGTTGTGATGCAGGTGGTTGCTGCCGCTCTCAAGTAGAACAGTATGAAAAGCACGGACAACTATTCGGCGTATCGCCTGAAATGTATTTTCTGAAGATTACCAACTATTCTTCGACTGGAAAAACCTTAAATCGAATCAGAGTCAGTTCGTTTTCAAAATCAGAAGTTTCACATTTTTCCCTGGTTTAGAAAATGGATGCGATAGTTTCTGATTAAGTTCAGGTCTTGATTGGCTGGCTTTATATTGATAAATGATTTAAGCTTCTGAAAAAAGCTAGAACAATTTTGTTTTGAACGAACATATAAAGTCTGAACATATAGAGTCTGAAGTGGTGTACATGCTATGTGTTTAGGCGAGGTTTGATTGTTCGGCCCAACGTAATATTATCACCGAGGTCGGATTTGGTGTAGGAAGTCTCAAACTCAGCGGAATAATTCAACCAAATACGACATTCAGAATTATAACAAGAATTACGCCAGAACTGCGAACTGAGAAAAAGGTTCCTTTGTTTTTCGACTTTCCTTTTCAAAACCCAGAAAATAATTTGACTTTTGACTTCTTTAAGCAAAATATTATGTGTCTTGTTAATTCTTGGCTATGTGATTTTTATTAAGAATTAAAATTTCTTAAGAAAGCTGAAGTTTTGATATGAATTGCTTCCCGTTGATATATATCTGATATCAAAAGTTTTCCAAAATTAGCAAAAAATAAATTTTTGGTAAAAGTTTGTGCTGCTTCTCAAGCGCAAAATTTGAGAGAGACGAGCTCTTTCTCAAAACTGATTTCAATCGATCAACAGTTTTGGTGTTGCATATGCTATTATAGAGTGAAAAAAATTGCAAAATTTGAGAGAGTCGAGCTCTTTCTCAAAACTGATTTCAATCGATCAACAGTTTTGGTGATGCATATGCTATTATAGAGCGAAAAAATTTGCAAAATTTGAAAGGGTCGAACTCTTTCTCGAAAACTGATTTCAATCGATCAACAGTTTTGATGTTGCATATGCTATTATAGAGCGAAAAAATTGAGTTAGGACTGGAGTGTATAACTCATAGAGTAATTTCGGATAGGGTACACCGTCTGCTCGTCACGCTATCTTATTTTCGGCCGGATAGATTCGTGCAACTTCTTAGTCTAATACCGATCCTAATCTTACTCTTATACTATCTAGTCTCAGGTTGTTTAACTAGTCTCTGCTAGGCTCAATAGATCTAGGGTATACTGGTTTATTGCGGCTGCTGAAGTGCTCGGGAGAGTCCAACTAATTTCTAAGTTAAATTCAAATCTCTCTGGTGCTGAAATTACAAGTAACTTCAGCACTTACAAATAAGTGGGTTGTTAGTTAGATGGATCATGATTGGTTAATATTAAATACTTTACATTGGTAAAACATTTAATTTATCCAATCATAAAATATAGTTTAGATCAGGTTCCACCCATCCGGGTTTTACAGAGTTTTTTAGAATAGTTCTTCTGCAATTCGAAGGATGGATGATGGACGTTGGTATTTGGCGAACATCATATTTCTTCTGTTTCCTTTTTGTTAAGGAAGTTCCAGGAAGCTGGAGTTAGAGACATAAGACGTTGTGTTCTTCTTGTGACAACGACTAAGTCTTCGCAACAAACTCAAATCTGATTTCAGAATGGTTGGCTATGTCAGGTTTTTCTGTTCTTCGTGGAGAACTTCTTTTGTGTCTGATCTAGCTTGGGAATGGCGTGGAGATTGTGCGTGGAGGGGATGCCTGGTTACTCGGATCTGTACGTATACTTGAACATCGAGGTGGTCATTGGTCTAGTTCAATGAAGTCCTTTTCTGCGAAGTCAAGTCGTACTCTAAATCCTTTGAGTTGTGGTTGTGAGCGGCATATCGATTGTAGTTGGTCATTCTCTCTCGAGTGTAGTGGGGTCGTCTTGTCTTTTGATGTTCGTCCTTGGTGTTGTATTCTGATCTATATATTGCATCATGTGATTTTACATTTTATAAAACTTTTATTAGTTTAATATTTTTTAATAATGATTTTAGTTAGTTGTTTTCACAAAAGCTTTTTGTTTTAGTTCGGTTATTTTGAAGAGTTACTCACCCTTGAGTAGCTCTTATTAAAAATAAAGGTGTGGTCACAAAGCGTGGATGTAGCGCGGTGGGTTAGGCCGGCTATAGAGCATGCTCAGGACGTCCTTCCTGGTGGGTTAGGCCAGGAGTGGGAGTATGATTTCATGCGGTTTTTGTGAGGGGTCCTGTTATGTGACAACGTTTTATGTTGGGTTTGTTGTGGTCTTACTTATGTCTTGTTGGTTATGTACTTTTTCCAAAAAGCAAATTGTTTGTGGTATGGGTTTGTCTTTCGACTTTTTTGTGTTTTATTATTTCTTTCTAAGACTTTGTAATAGTCTTCAAAAGAATAAATTATCCAGTTTTAAACTGGGTTAATCCGGTTTGGGTACCGTTGGTTTCCTTTTCTTAGTCATGCTGTTATTCTATGATTTGTGGTATTTAGTAAGCTGCGTTGGTTAGTTTTGTTTAGTATATGATTCCTTTCCAACCGGGTTAAAGGAAAATTTGAAACATGTTATTTTATGTTAGAGTTGTTGAGTGTGAAAACTTGAAACTGAAATTCATTATTTTAAACAATTCTTCGTCGGCGAGCTGTGCGAGTGTGGATAGAATTTCTGTGCGAATGAATGAAAATATCAAAAGGTTAGTACTGCATTTGCATTTATTTAATTTACTACATAGAATTTAGAAATTTACTGCTAGTCATGGGGGAATATTAAGATACAAATTTTCATCATAATTAGATTTACTGCTTTGGGGGAAAATATTATAGATGAATTTACTGCATTGATTTTAAATTTAGAAATTTATAAGTGTAAGAGATTAATAGAATTTTAAAATTGTTTGATGAAAATTGTGATTTTTATTGTTTCTTTTGTGGTTTTTGTAGGTGATTGTCGGATGAAAGCTAAAAATCTAAGGAAAACATGAATAAAGAATGGTGAGTTTTTAATACTGTAATTAGTTAGTTATATTTACTTAATTCATACTTACCTGTTAGTCGTCGGGGAAAAAACCGTGGGGGAAGATGTCGTGAATTAGTTCTGAAGTTGTTAGTAGTTTAGCTAAAATGCGGATGATATTTTTAGTCTGAAGCAGTGGCCAAAGCAATTGAAGTGCCTTAATAGTGGTTAGTTCTTCAGTGCCTACTGCAAACTCATAAGGTGTGTTTTGAATTAAGTTATATAATTTGTGGTTAAATTTAGTGTTGTGGATGAATTCTAAAATTGGGATTTCTATAGGCTGTACAAACTCGTGCGGGATAAGGAAGGGTCGGGATTCTTCGGCGTTGAAGGTCTTGGTGATGGTGCAGAAAATGTACATTTGGGTTATGGGGTCATAGTTACGAAGAATACCATGGAGGTTAGTGTCTTTAATACAATATGTGAAATTTAGGAAATACGGTGAAGTGTATTTTGAATTGATGAATTGAAAACGATGGTGTGGTTGTCTAGAGGGTGTGTGAAGGTCAAAGTGATTTTGGATGAAACGATAGTAAGTGTATGTATGTGTTTGTTTAGTGCGCAACATAATATCATGTGAGCAGTGCAA